TTCTGTAGGTAAGTTCATCATTTCCTACCCACTCACTCTGGGTTATGAACTTATTAAGAATAGATATTCAGCCAAAATCGGTAAATTCATCAAGTCTTTCTCACTAAGACCACCCAAAGCCTGGGCTATGAATTTATTAAGAACAATTAAGCTCATCCTGGGCATGCACATTATTCAACATAGGGATAGGCAGTAGGAATGTGCACTATGAGTCTTTCCATGGATTCGTTTGACCACATGGAACTTAGATAACTAAGTTGGGTATCCACCATGAATTCCTCAATCAATGGGCTTTAGACCCATCCCCCTCGACGAATCTAGGACCAGCTTCTGACTTAACCCTTTGGTAAGTGGATCTGCTAGGTTCCTTTCTGACTTCACATACTCTAAAGAGAGCACTCCATTCTTTATTAAGTGTCTCACTCACTCATGTCTTATATGAATGTGTCTTTTCTTACAATTGTAAGCTTGGTTCTTAGCCACACATATCGCAGCTTGTGAATCACACAATAATGAAACTGGAGGAGTCGGTCTTCCCCACAATGGAATATCTGCTAACAAACTTCTGAGCCACTCGGCTTCTTGCCCAGGTAGGTCAAGAGATATAAACTCTGACTCCATAGTAGAACGAGCAATACAAGTCTGCATTGATGATTTCCACGAGATTGTTGCTCCACCCAAAGTAAAAACATACCCGCTCGTAGAGCTTACCTCATCATTATCAGAAACCCAGTTGGCATCACAATATCCTTCCAGTACCGCAGGAAAGCTAACAAACTCAAGTTTCCAATCCAAAGTACCCTTAAGATACTTCAGTAAGCGTTTAAGAGCAATCCAGTTCTCACCACTCGGATTATGAGTATATCTACTCAGTCTACTCACAGCATAAGCAATATCAGGCCGAGTATAGTTCATTAAGAACATTAAGCTTCCGATTAACTTAGCGTATTCAGTTTCGGAAACACTACTTCCTTTATTCTTAACTAGATATATGCTAGGGTCATAAGGAGTTCGAACAGGGACGACATCAAAACTGTTAAATTTCTTTAGCCTTTTCTCTATATAATGTGCTTGACATAAAGAAAATCCCTTCTCAGTTTTGGTAACTTTGACTCCTAAGATTACATCTACTTCTCCCAATTCTGTCATCTCAAACTTAGTGGACAAGAAATTTTTAACTTTGTTAATGGACTCAATGTTAGAACTAAAAATCAACATGTCATAAACATAAAGACTTATGATAACACATTCACTGTCAAACATCTTCGAATACACACAAGCATCCGAACCATTCACAACAAAACCAAAACTAAGAATAGTTTTATGAAATTTCTCATACCACTGTTTAGGAGCCTGCTTAAGTCCATAGAGTGACTTTTTGAGTCGACAGACTTTGCCTTCCATACCAGGTGCTTTAAAACCTAGTGGCTGCTCCATGTAAATCTCCTCATCTAGATCTCCATTCAAGAAAGCAGTCTTAACATCCATTTGATGTACCTGCAACTTATGAATAGAGGCTAGTGCAAATAATGCACGAATCGTTGAGATTTTTGTAACGGGAGAATATGTATCAAAAGTAGTCTACACCAAACCTTTGAGTGAACCTTTTGACGACTAACCTTGCCTTGTACCGCTGAATCAAACCATCTGACCTTAGTTTTTTCCGGAAGACCCATTTGTTGGAGGTTGGTTTGAATCCCTTAGGCAAGTCAACTAATTCCCAAGTATGATTAGACATTATCGATTCTAGTTCATCACTAACATTGCTTTTCCAAAAACTAGCATCGATAGATCTTATAGCTTCTTCAAAAGTTTTAGGATCCTCATCTAACAGAAAAATTTGAGCTATAGGATCTGAAATGGTGTCTAAATCATTTATCTCAGAAATAAAGGAAGTAATAAAGTCTGGTCCAAAAGAGGTTTCAACTCTTTGCCTTTTACTTCTTCTATGCTCGAAATCAATTTGTTCAGAAGACCTAGCAGGATTACTAGAAGAAGTGGATGGAATATATTCTATTTGTGTTTCAATATTCATTCTCTGTTCCTTTAAAGGAAAATTATTTTCAAAGAAAACAGCATCCCTTGACTCACAAATAGAATAATCTTGTAAAAGCATGAATCTGTATGCATCACTATTCGTAGCATACCCTATAAACACTGCATAAATAGTTTTAGGTCCGATGGTGGACTTCTTAAAGTCTGGCAAACCCACTTTGGCCCGACACCCCCACACTTTCAGGTATTGTAAATTAGGAGCGTATCCTTTCCACAATTCATATGGGGTAGAATCTAATTTCTTATGAGGAACTCGGTTCAAGATATGAGTTGCCGATAGAATGGCTTCCCCCCACATGTTATCAGATAACCCTGAACTTATTAGTAAAGAATTCATCATCTCTTTTAAAGTTCTATTTTTCCTTTCGGCTATACCATTCTGTTGAGGAAAATAGGGGGCTAAAGTTTCATGAATTATGTCATTCTTTTCACAAATATCTTTTAAGAAATTAGATCCATATTCACCACCTCTATCAGATCTAACCCTTTTAATTCTCCTATCTAACTGATTTTCTACTTCTACCTTATAAATAAGAAAGAAGTTTTCAGCTTCATCTTTAGTTCTTAGGAGATAAACTTTTGTATATCTTGAATAATCATCTACAAAAGTTATGTAGTAGTGTTTTCCTCCTTTATGTAGTAGTGTTTTCCTCCTTTACTTTTTAGTGTTTCTAAAATCTGCTAGATCAGTATGAATGAGTTCTAACAGTTCAGTATTTCTATTAGAAACAGTCTTAAAGTGAGGTCTAGTATGCTTAGCTTCTACACAAATCTCACATTTGTTAAAGCTAGTTGTGTCTAGTTTAGGCAGAACATTCATATTCATTAATTTCTTTAAAGCATAAATATTCACATGTCCTAATCTAGCATGCCACATATCAATGGATTCAACAATATAAGCAGAAGTGGTATCTTTATTTTCATTAAATTGAGTTTCTATGACAAATAAAGCATTGCTTAAAAACCCTTTCCCCACATAATCACCATTTCGGGAAAGTACAAGTTTATCTGCCTCAAAAACTAACTTAATGCATGCCTTATTCAGAAGCCCACCACTTATCAAATTTCTACGCAAGGTAGGTACATACAGAACATTATTTAAAGCCAAAGTTTTACCAGAAGTCAGCTTGAGTAAAACCTTGCCTTTGCCTAGCACTTCAGATCTGCTAGAGTTCCCCATGTACACACGTTCACCAGTGTTCCCATCCTCGAACTCGGTGAAAAACTCCTTCCTTGCACAGAAATGCTTCGAAGCTCCAGTGTCAACTACCCATTCTGAACTATTCTCCACTAGATTAACTTCTGAGACCACCGCAACAATGATCTCATTATTGGCTTGTCGTCTGTCATCTAAAATTTGAGCCATTCGCCAACAACATACTTCTTGATGCCCGCATCGTCCGCACCATACTTTTTGTCGAGAGTGTCCCATATTGCCATGGCACTTCTTTCTCTAAGGAACATATCAAATAGTTTATTTGACATGTGGTTGAGCAGATGTCCTCGCACCGTCTTGTTGTCTTTCTCGTATTTCTCGTAGATAGCGAGTGCGGCAATGGCAGTTGCTAAGGCATCATTATTGAGGGCCACATCCACATCATTACCGGCAGCTGAGGTTGGTGACATGGTAGGTGGTGGCTTGAGCAGCACGTAGTCAAGATCAAGCTACTCGAAGAATATCAGGATTCTTTGGGACCACCTTCTATAATTCTTTTCATCAAGTGCATCGAGCTTGGAAAGATCAGGGATTAGTTTGCTCAAAGGTGTTGTCATGATTGCAGTATATGGAATTTGTTTCTAAATTGTTGGATATATGAACTGCAAAACTACACTGTTAGCACTGACTGGAAATATAAACAATAATTAAAAGGAACAAATTCGTAAACCGTGTCGTGGCAAAAACCACTGCCTTAGAAACGAATTCGACCCGATGTGTGTAATCGCTGCAGTAGGTGGACCGTCCCCCGAGGTTAACACAGTCGCTCTGAATTTCGTACACCCAAAACTAGAGTGGACTGCTGGTATTGCTCTTCTGATTGGAAAGCACTCAGAGAGAACTCACAGAGAGAACTGTAGAAAACACTTTTGTAAGTGAATTGTGAATGTTTGAGAGTGAGTTGAGAAGCTGAATATAGCTCTCTATTTATAGGCTAGAAATAGGGTTAATATCGTCCATAAAATTTTAGGATTAAATCTCTTCTTTTGTAACAGCTGAAATGTCTAGATGAGTCTGACTCAAAAATAGTCCAGGTTCATTGCATCATTATTCAGCTGTTATAACTCCTGAAATTATATCATGTAACCCCTGGAATTAAATCAAATAATTTTTGTAACTCCTGGTATTAACAGCTTGTCTCCTCTGTACAAAGCTGGAAATCAGTCCAGATACATCTTAACGTTTTTGATTTAATTTAGGAAAAAGCTATTTAATTTTTGATAACTCATAAATCAGCTGTTATCATTTGAAATTTAAACAGTCCTCAACAGCCTATAAATATCAGTTGAAATCTTTCACATTTTCCATTTGTTTCTTTCAAAGAGAAATTCCTCTAAAAATATAGTATCCGTGCGGACGTGTCGAATACACGTATTACCACGACCACGAGACGGCGGCGGTGGCGGTGCGCGAGAGTCCCCCTTGTTCTCTATCACTCAACAAGGAAGTGGGAAAGTCAAGCCTTAAATACAATTCCCAATAGTGTTTCCAATACTATGTGGGATTGAGCATTACCAACACCTTGGACCCGAGTGGATCACAAACTACGAGATATCAGAAAAGAGTGACGTTTACAGCTATGGCATGTTGCTTCTGGAGATCATTGGGGGAAGGAAAAACTTCAACCTGGCAGAATCATCGGAGAAATCTTACTTGCCATCCTATGCGTTTAAGATGTTAGATGAAGGGAAGCTTCGATAAATTCTTGATTCGAGGTTGAGTATAGAAGGTGAAGATGAGACTGTTTACACTGCCATCAAAGTTGCATTATGGTGCATACAAGAAGATATGCATTTAAGGCCATCCATGACCAAAGTTGTTCAAATGCTAGAAGGCCTCTCCTTCGTTCCAAAGCCGCCAATGTTGTCTCCATTAGGTTCTCGACTTTATTCGAGTTCGTTTAAACCGGCAGCCACCATTGGAGACGACACAGTTTTGGCCTCGCAACCGTCAATCTTCAATGGCGATGATTATCTTTCAGCTGTTCGGCTTTCTGGTCCAAGATAACAATTTCTTAATAGGATAGTTTAGTTAAATTGTACCAAAGATATGTAATATCATTCGGAAAAGTTTGTAAATTCCAAGTATCATTTAATACAAAATCAGCCTTCAGAATCAAGAATGCCAGAGAAGAGTGAAAACAGAAAAAAGAAAAGGGAACTTAAACAAAATGAAATTATAAATAGGCAAATTATGATTTTAATCCCTTTATTTTATTCGATTTGAAAATTTAATCGTCTTACTTTAATATAATTTAATCTTTCTAAACTTATAATATTATTAGTCTGCTAAAGGTGTTATAAAAATTTTCATGTCAACAATATAATATAAAGAATAGAAAATAACCTCAATGACCAAAAATGCCTTATAATATACGATTTTAACCAATTTTTTTTTGGATTTGCCAAAATGACCAACTAAATCGCAATGCGATCGATAATTCGCAACGCGATCTCCGGTATCGCAAATCAGTTTCCAGATTCGCAACGCGAACTTCGACTATCGCATTGCGATTTACATATTCGCATTGCGAAAGTCCAAGTTCGCGTTGCGATTTTCCAAATTCGTTGTGATAGTCGAAGTTCGCGTTGCGATTTATTCTAAATTCGTTGCGATAGTCCAAGTTCGCGTTGCGATTTATTCCAAGTTCGTTGCGATAGTCAAAGTTCGCGTTGTGATTTATTCTAAATTCGTTGCGATAGTTGAAGTTCACGTTACGATTTATTCCAAGTTCATTGCGATAGTCGAAGTTCGCATTGCGATTTATTCCAAATTCATTGCGATAGTCCAAAATCGCAACGACTGGTGGTATTGCATTTGTTTCTTAAGAATTTTCTCTAAAAATATAGTATTCACCCGAACGTGTCGAAGACACGTATTACCACGACCACGACCCGAGACGAGACGAGACGGCGGCGGCGCGCGAAAGTCCCCCTTGTTCTCTATCACTCAACAAGGAAGTGGGAAAGCCAAGCCTTAAATACAATTCTCAATAGTGTTTCCAATACTATGTGAGATTGAGCATTACCAACACTTGTTCCCAATACTATGTGGGATTGAGCCTTAAATAGTGATATTATTTTTGAATGTTTTGCTTAAAATTGCAATAATCGCGATTGATTGTAGATTGACTTTTAATTATGACATATTTAATCGTATAATACTAATGCAATTGGTTGCTGATTCAGTTATTTTAAGGTGCATGATTGTTAATTGTTTCTTAAATAATCACATTGTATTGGAAACAAGTGTTGGTAATGCTCAATCCCACATAGTATTGGAAATACTATTGGGAATGGTATTTAAGGCTTGGCTTTCCCACTTCCTTGTTGAGTGATAGAGAACAAGGGGGATTCTCGCGCGCCGTCGCCGCCGTCCGTCTCGTCTCGGGTCGGGTCGGGTCGGGTCGTGGTCATACGTGTCTTCGACACGTCCGCGCGAATACTATCTTTTTAGAGAAAATTCTTAAGAAACAAATACAATACCACCTGTCGTTAACGAATTTGGAATAAATCGCAACGCGAACTTCGACTATCGCAACGAATTTGGAAAATCACAACGCGAACTTCGACTATCGCAATGCGAATATGTAAATCTCGTTGCGAATCTGGAAACTGATTTGCGATACCAGAGATCGCGTTGCGAATTATCGATCGCATTGTGATTTAGTTGGTCATTTTAACAAATTCAAAAAAAATTGGTTAAAATCATATATTATAATGTATTTTTGATCATTTTCTCTTTAAAGAAAATATTTTACGATATTAACAATTTGGGTCAAAATATTGGATCAAAACCCATAATTTTTCATGATTGATTAGTTGACCACTATTTTGACTTTGTTTAACAAATGGTAAACAGAACCGCATACAATCACACTCTTCCCGTGGAAAAATCGAACCTTTTCTCCGCAAGAGAGAGAAACATATGTGAACCACCCACTTTGAAAATCTTCAGAGGATGATGAGCTCATCAGCAACCTTAAGTTCTTCATTTTCTTCGACCTTAGCTTTATCTTCACCAAAATTCAGATCCAAATTTCCCTCCTTTTCGCAACGGTGGTCTCTCTTAACGGTCGAATCACGCGCCAAACCATTCAAAGTCGCTGCTTGTTCTTCCACGACCATCCACAACATTTCAGGTACTGCAATTTGAAAGGAAGAAAGAAAATGGTATATAAAGTTGTAACTTTTTCACTATTTTTTTTAATTTTGAATTACAGGAGAAAGTTGCCATTATAGTTTCAGTAGGAGGAGAGGGTTGGCTTTCACTGCAACACTGCCGTTTCTTCTTCCTCTGCATGAATTTGTAGACTGTGTTGGCGCTAAGGCAGTTGAGTAAGTTCTAACTTCTATGTACTGCAATTAATAAGTAAGTTCGTATTTGTTATTGCGATTTTTTGTTTTAGCGTTAGATTTTCAGTTGTGAACGATGTTCTTTAGGTATAATTGTGAACAAGTGAAATTGATATGCGCGCGCGCGCGCGCACACATATATATATATATATATATGTAGTTGAATTACTGATTTTGCAGTCTGCAATTTAACCATAATGTTCAAGAGCATCATCGAATTGGATTAAATTTTCGTTTTCACAAAATATGAGACCAAGTGAAGACAAATTAAAGTAGAGGGACTAACAATATCGAAATCAGAGAAGTTAGACCCTCTGCTTTAATTTGGTAGGATTGGTCCTCATGCTTTATGAAACTGAGAAGTTACTCTAATTGTTGGTAAACAAGTGAAATTGAAATGCTGGTTTTTGCTAATTTCTTGTGTATAAATTGCTGAATCGTTGATTTTTACTAATTCCTTCTATATATATCGTTGAATTACTGATTTTCAAGTCCGCAATTTAACCGGCAATGTTTAAAAGTATTATTGAATCGGATTAAATTTTCAATTTTCGTGGAGGGATGAAATCCATAATTATTCTTTTTCTTTATTGATGAGTGAAGGTCAGGTCAAAGCGAGTATCTGCGTATAAAGGAAGAGATAAGTAAAGTAGTAACTAAGGGAAAGGCTGCCGGTGTTCTTCGTTTAGTATTCCATGATGCTGGAACCTTTGAAATGAATGAAAATACAGGTAAATAGCTCCCACATCACATAATAATAGAAAAATCGAAGGATTTAAGCTCGTTTTAATGTCATCTACCGTTCTTTTTAATTGTTCTCGGCAGGTGGTATGAACGGTTCTGTAGTTTATGAACTCGAAAGGCCCGAGAATGCAGGTCTCAAGAAGTCTGTGAAGGCATTATCTATACCTGCCTCTTTGTAATGCAGACTAATGTATTTATGCCATATGTACTTTTGGTTTTTGCCTTTCCTCTTTTAATTTGTAACACTTCAATGGATGCATTGTTGTTTTAGGTTCTAGAGAAAGCCAAGAAAGAGATCGATTCGATACGATCAGGTTTTCTTCTTTCTGCAATCTTAGGTGATTAGATTTTGATGGAAATGAATGATTGTCGAGATGCTAAGATGTTGTTGATTTTTCTCTTCTATTATTAGTATCATGGGCAGACATGATTGCTGTCGGTGGAGCTGAAGCCGTTTCGGTTTGTGGAGGTCCGAAAATTCCGGTTACATTAGGCCGACTAGATTCCGGGTGAGCACCTAGCTTTGATCATATAGAGTGTATAGTTATTATTACCTGATAATCTTTTACTGTCATACTATATAGCACACTATGCTTTTGCATCTTTTTCGATGTAAAATAACAGTTTACCACCGGATTTTACCGATCCTGGCTGATGGCAAAAATTGGATGCAGTGAGCCAGATCCTGAAGGGAAGCTTCCCCAAGAATCTCTGGATGCCGCTGGCTTGAAGCAGTGTTTTCGGCAAAAAGGCTTCTCGTGCGTTTTTGCTTGCAAACATCCTTTTTGAGGCAGCGATTTTGCTTCACTTGAATTTTGAAGCACTGTTTTTTCTTGCAGGACACAAGAACTAGTTGCTCTATCTGGTGCTCACACCATTGGCGGTAAAGGTTTTGGAAGTCCGGTTGCTTTCGATAACTCCTACTTCAAAATTCTTCTGGAGAAGCCATGGAATTCTTCAGGTACATAATTAAACTCGACTCATTTATGTTTGCACTCGTAAGCGTATGTGTTATTTATGTACCGAGTGTTCTCATGTAGCTGGTATGTCAACCATGATTGGCCTTCCTTCAGACCATGCCATTGTAGAGGATGATGAATGCTTAAGGTTGGTGCTCGAAAATCCGCTTAAATTGTCATTTAACAGTTATCCTGTCTCTGTTTAAGAACATTTGAGAATGGACACTTGCATGCATTTGAAATCTTTCATTATTGTACTCGACAAACGACTAACGGAGGAAAGCTTATTCGATCGCCACAGGTGGATCGCAAAATACGCAAAAAATCAGGACATGTTCTTTGAAGATTTTAAGAATTCTTATATCAAACTAGTGAATTGTGGAGCAAGGTGGAAGAGCATGTAACTGTTTCGGAAGAGCAACATTCTATTAGTGTTTTGTCTCTTTGATTGGATGAGCATGTAATCATTTTTTTTTCTTTCAGATTTCAAGTTCGAGACCGGTTTGAATTTGCAAAGTTTGAATAATCTAAAACGATATTATTTTAGTTTTTAGTTAAGTAATTTGATTCTTTTACGACTCTTCAAACGATTTAAGGATTGTGTTCTGCATCAACAAGAAATTCTCGGAACACTTTTAAAAGTCGAGACATAAATCTCAAGATAAAATCGCATATAGACATCCAAAAAAATAATACCCTGTTGATCGTCGAAGATTTTAACCGAATAATTAAGATATATCTCTCAACATAACTTATTAGATTTCATTCAGATTATAATTGAAATTCATCTTATTACTAACATGATATATATATATATATATTAGTTGAATGTGTTTACCTACCTTGGTAGTTGTCAATGGTGATTGAAATTGATAAGTAGAAAAGTAAGGTAAATATTGTAATTATTTCGAATGAGAATTTTATATAACTAATTATTTTCAAGGTTGACAAGAAAAACTAAACCATAAAGTCTTTATGCCCCAACTTGGCTTTAAAAGCATTCTGTCTTATACCTTATCTTCTGGGTGATGTTTTTTAAGCAAAGCAACTCCTAGGTTTGATTTTAATATATTTAAAATAGGGATAAAGTACACCAATAGTCCTTAACTTATACTAAAATGATTTTTTAATCAACGAACTTTTAAATATTATAAGATGACTATTAAATTTCCTGTTATAAAATGATCATAAAAATCTATAGAACTGTTATAAAATTATCATCATATTTATAAAAAAAATTATTATTATTTTATATGTTTTCTTAATACGACTCAAGTTTTATTTAAATCTTCTAACATTAAAAATTTTCAATTAGTAGGTAAAGATAATCGTTTTCTTAGTTTTGTTGAGCCCTTTGCTTCCACGTAAAATAACCTTTACCTAAAATAGTATGCGTGAATGAAGATTAAATTTTGGAAGAAGATTTATCTTACAAATTACCATAAAAATAAAGAAGGATAAACTACACCACAACACTCGGTTATTAATAAGATTATAAATAAGTCATTAAATTTTAAAAACTTATAAATGGGTCATCCGATTATTTAATTGTTACAGATATGTTACTTTATTATTAGGTATATAACGAACATTAACCTTTTATTACAAATGAGTAACTTGATGATAATAATCGATAAATTGAATGACTTTATTTTAATAATTAATATATTAAGTGACTTTATTGTTGCAACTGATAATAGAGTGATGAAGCTATAATAAAAAAATGATACGTTTATAATAATAAATTAATTGAATGCGTTGTCTGTAATTTTTTAAAATTAAATGATTCAGTTATAAATATTATTAATAATTGATTGATATATAATATATTTCATCTAATAAATAATTGAAATGAAAATCAAATAATTTGAATAATTCAAAAAAATTTATATTAATATATTTATTTTTATGTTCGAGTCAAGTCTCTAAATTTTAAGTTATAAATGTCACATATGAAGAAATATATATGTATATTATATATGATTATAAAAAATCATTTAAATTATAATCAAATAATGCTATAATATTTTAAAATATTTATAATTAAATTTAAATAAAAAATCAAATAATTTAATTTAACTCAATTTAATCAAATGCTCATTCCTAACTCTAACCAATAATTACGGTTAAAAGGCGAAAGGAAAATAACGTACTAAAACTGCATTGTTTTTTATTGGTGCTAGAAAACTGTATATTCGTAGCCGTATTTGATGAGGGGGCAAAAACCAATCATTTTATGTTGAAAGAAAGTGAGGCGATTTTCCCAATAAATCACTCTTTAAATGTTTATTTTTCTGTCAGACATCATTCAGATTATATTTTTTTTGATTTAACACCCTTTGCAGTAAGGTGTGGCCCTACAATACATTTTACATTGATTTGGCGCCACATGGGGGTATGGTGTGCCCCCTGAAACGCGCATTATGCTGACATGGATACACGCTGGCTAAAGTGCAGCTCCTGGGGCGCTCTTTATGACAATTAGGGTATAGCACGGTTCAGGGCCCGCGCCTTCCAATTATCACATGTATAATGCAAGGCGCGGTGCAGAGGTCACACATTGTATAATTACACTATCTCTTCTTAGCTATAAATACTCCTCTCCCCCGTAAACTCTTTCACAACTTCCTCTCAACCGAAAAACTAATACAACAATCTTCTCAACCAGTATAACACCCGCCAATCCTCTTATATTTGATTAAGAAGTTTGTTCGATTTTTCGTTATAAGGTAATTTTGTTATAATATTTTTTTTATAATTATATATGATTATTTGAAAAAAATATTATACTAATTGTTTTTAATAAATTTTTGTGTTTGTAAAATTGAAAAATGGGAGCATACATTGAAATATTTTTGCCGGTAAGGTAATAATATAAAATTATATTATTTAAATTATTTACGTTATTGTGTAAAAAAATTATTTCCTTATATTTCAATTCATATATTATTTATTTAATCAGGCTCGTTTCAGGTTTATTTTTTACAGATATAAGATTGTCTCACTTTTAAACTCTAAGAATGACACAAATTTCAGCTATTGTTTATTACGATGGAGAAATTCAGGAAAATGAAATCGGTATTGTTTTCGTATCAAATCATTATGTTAAAATATCCTTTAAGAGAAACACAATTCTTGATGAGTTGATAACGAAGATTTCAAGAAAGGTTCATGTTGGAAGTACTAGAAGATTGTCGTTGATTCAGTACAAATTTCCAACATCATTGTTGACATTATGGTATACAACGTTCGAACTATCGAACAATGATGATGTTGAAATGATAGTTGATTCTCAAAATAATTATTCAGATGTCGTTACAGAGATGTATGCAAAGTTTGTTGAGGTGTGTGTTGTCCAGGGTCTGTCATTAAGCTCCCACTATGGGCTAGCTGAACAAGCTGATCAAGTTTACAGCCCGACTACAGTAATGTGTAATGATTTTAAAGCCATAATGGGAAATCTGCATCAGGGTGTCGTCCCATCAACTTCAATGGGGAGACATTCATTAGCAACTCCTTACGATATGTACCGAGGTGGGTCCACGAACAATCTGTATGACAACATCACGTCCAGTTCAAGGGGAAGACATTCATCTGCCAATTTCTTTGACCTTAATATGGAGATGCCCTCGACGCAACAGTCTGTGCAGTTTCCATTTGACACGATGACTTCAAGCTCTAGGGGGAGGCATTTGACTGCAAGCTTTTTCGATCTCAATGTCGATATGCCTTCTAGTTCAAGGGGAATACATGCAAATAGTAGGTTCTTGGACCTAAATGTGGAGAGCATGGAGGAACCATCATCTCCGCCAGAAGAACTGATTCGTGAACCAGGTGCTTAGACTGGACTATTCATTCACCCAGAATCACCGCAATTCAACTCCGATGATGATGATGATGTAGATGAAGTTCCCTCAAATGTGGCACAAACTGACCCTCCAGCACACATGTATGAAGCTGATTATGGTACAATGTACGGGCCAGAATTTACGGATATGCCTCATCTCGGTGACTATAGATATTACTCATCAATAAATAATGATGAGTTATCTTTAGGCATGGAGTTTTCAAGCAAAGAAGAAGCGATCATGGTTATAAAAAATTACAATATCCGTAATTCTGTTCAATCCAGAGTCGATCGCTCCACGACAGAAAAATATGTATATCACTATGCCCGACGCGAAAACGGAAGGAATTAGATGATTCGTGTATCGAATAGGAATTAGATGGTTCGTGAGCAAAGTGCTGAGACTAGACTATTCATTCACCCAGAATCACCGCAATTCAACTCCAATGATGATGATGATGTAGATGAAGTTCCCTCAAATGTGGCACAAACTGACCATCCAGCACACATGTATGAAGTTGATTATGGTACAATGTACGGGCCAGAATTTACGGATATGCCTCATCTCGGTGACTATAGATATTACTCATCAATAAATAATGGTGAGTTATCTTTAGGCATGGAGTTTTCAAGCAAAGAAGAAGCGATCATGGTTATAAAAAATTGCAATATCCGTAATTCTGTTCAATCTAGAGTCGACCGCTCCACGACAGAAAAATATGTATATCACTATGCCCGACGCGAAAACGGAAGGAATTAGATGATTCGTGTATCGAATAGGAAAAACAATAGATGAGAACTAACGGTATACAATGGTCCTCACACATGTTGTGCTTGAGGGATCAATCAAGATCATCCCAACTTGGACACTGAAGTGATCTGCCAAGCCATCATGCCCATGGTAAAAGCAAGCTCCCATATAGCTATTGCAATGTTGATTTCTACTATACAATCACAATATGAGTACACTGTCTCCTATAAAAAACTTGGTTGGCAAAACAAAATGCCATTGCCAAACTTCATGGCGAATGAGATGCATCTTACAATGAACTTCCAAATTGCTTTATGTTGGTACGAATGTTGAATCTTGGGACAATTGTGGACTTCGAAAGCTCTCATGCATACCATAATGATCGAGTTCTTCACGATCGATGCCAATTCTACAGGGTTTTTTGGACTTACCCACAGTGCGTTAATGCTGTCAAATACTGCAACCTTGTGGTCCAGATCGACGGGACTTTCTTGTATGGAAAATACAAGCAAGTTTTACTATTGGCAGTTATTCAAGATGTCTGCGATGTGAATGTGTTTCGCAGGGCGGTGGTTGACTGTCTCGAGGAGGATTTTTGTATATAACTGGTTCTGACTCGTCGCTGTCATCATCATCACCATCATCATCGTCGTTGTCGTCGTTATGAGCAGAGACATTTTGTTGATGAGGAACTGATGATGATGTAACACCTCCATAGAATAAGGACCCTGGAGGTGTATGACTGACTATCCCACCGGCCTGCGAGAACTGGGAAAACTCATAAAACCCAGACATCGATGAGTAAGAAAACTGTACATGAGGTGTCTGTGCTGCGGCCATCGGTGATAAGGTTGCACCTGCCAAATAACTAGCATGTGAGCCCCAAGTCAGATCTACAAAC